TGTTGGATTAGTAGTTTAAAAAACTTAACGCAAAAATTCCACACCACTAGAATAGTTCCGACATTTGGAAGAAAAGAAGCAAATAAATAGCCAGAAGGGCTATTTATGACTGAAAAGGAAACCGCGATACAATAACCAGAAGGGTTACTGTACAATTATTTACGTTACGAATCCGAGCAACAAACCGTATCTTGTTTCGCAACACTAATTCACTAGCACTAATTGTGAAACAGGAAATTTTCAAAATCAAACGCGAAGAGTGCTTCATCTTGTTTACAACTCCCGAAAATAAGTACGCAAGGTTATTAATTTATGCACTCATGTTTAAAAATGCGCGACACTAATTGCGACTCTGCATGCAACTCTGCAGGAAATTGCTGATGAATGACCACTTCTGTACAGCTCTTGTAGCTGCATCGGGTGATTCAGAAGCAGGAACAGTGGAAGAATTTGGGCATTTTGTAAACGCGACGCTATTTCGCGAAACGCGATCATTCATTATCGCAACACTAACTCTAAAAGGAAAAGTAATTGGAAATCGCGGTGGAACAATATCGCAACACTAACTCTAAAATTCAAAAGCTTTTTCAAATATTCTAATATCCTAAAATTAATTAACTGCAATGACTCTATAATCTAACGTAAAACAAAAGAAAGCAAGATAAATTTTACTATATATAATTCTACGACAACCTCAAAAATTCTCAACCAAAATTGCTAAAGATAATCGCGATATCGTAATTCGCAACTCTAAAGCAAACACGATTATCATTTCTTCGTAACTCTAATTCAATCCGTAATCAATCTTTCGCAACACTAACAAGAAAATCCGCGCAATTTGCCAAAAATGCAGATGAACGATGATGAAGAAAAAAAAATACAACTACAAATACTAAAAGAGCATAGTGACAAAATAGTAACGAGCATGACTTCCCATGCTCTGCAATCATTTGAATGATCCAGAGGATGAGACGCCATTTGTTGTGACCCTCTTCATGGCAGTTTGCCGGGCCTCTTCTTTTCTTCGGGCGCGATGCCCGCTGAAACTTAAATCTAGGCTCGAGTCTTTCTAATCGCAAAACCAAAAAATAACTTATAAAGGTGAAATGAAAAGATAAACCGCGGAAGCTGATCCCAATACACATGGACGACCATCGATCATACTGATCGTTGTCCATTCGCATGTGCGTGCTCGAGCAATACCTACATAAACGTTCGTTTCGGGACCTACTCGCGACCTACCCGCGACCACGACCGCGATAATAACTAAATTCAAAAAATCGAAGAGTAAAACCAGAAACAAGTGGCATGCTCCATTTGTATCAATTTCACTGTCGATTTTTT